ATTCTTGACGCTTCGTCCAACATCCGCCCAGGAGGAGGAGGAGGAGGAGGAGGAGGAGGAGGAGGAGGAGGAGGAAGGTGGGGGCCGCGCCCGACCCGCTGTCGGGTCGGCGCCGCCCGCGGCCGACCGCCTGCCTGGCGGCCGGCCCCCGCGGCGGAGTCTATCGCCGCGGAGCGTATCGCCGCCCCCCTGGAAAGAAAATGGCGCGCGCCTCTCCGCCGCCCTGTTGCCCTCCGAGCATCGGCGGCGAGCGGCGCGGAGGGGAGAAACGAATGTTTTTAACCGACCAGAATTGTGCAAAACATCCGTCGAGAATGTTCGGGCCAACCAGCCCCCCCGAAGATGGGGGGAAAAAGACTAGAGCTCTCACGAATTGTTGCATTTCTCGAGACATGGATTTGAAGTAGGCCAAGCAAAAACAAGACATCAGTCGAGACTGGGGCGTTCGAGGCTCGACCTTCGAGGTTCGAGAGCTCGAGGTTCGAGCTTCGAGGTTCGAGAGTTCGAGGCTCGACCTTCGAGGTTCGAGAGTTCGAGCTTCGAGGCTCGAGGCCGTCTCTGTGGCTCTTTTCGGCCTCACGGGGGGCCACGGGCGGGCCCCGGGGAGGCCCCCGAAGCTCGGATGCGGGGGGGCAGGACCGCGTCGGCCCACGACCTTCCAGAGCGCCCCCCCAACAAAAACACCCCAGCCCTATAGACCTATCTGGACTGCCTTAAACCTCGACAGGAATCAGGACGTCGACGTCCTCGTGCTATTTTTTGACCCTCCTGGAAGGTCAGGGTAAAGATGATCAAACACAAATATCCCGAATGCACCAAACATGCTCGAACAACCGCCCACACGCATTACATAGCACACTATGTTTTAGCCCTCCTGGAAGGTCAGGGGGATGGGCCCCTGGAGGGGTCCAGGTTAACAGATTCTGGCCGACAGTCGGCCGCGCGCCCCGGGGGGGGAAGGAAAGCGAGAAGGAGAGAGAGGAGGCTTGCTCAGAAGGCGGCGGGACTTCTCGGAAGCCCTCGGGCCCTCTGAGAGGAGGTTTCTGCCGGGGTCTTCGGGGCAGGCTGGGAGGAAAAACTTCTCGGGCGGCCGGGGGGCGTCCGCGCCTTCTGAGAAGGGCCCGCCCCTTCGCCCTTCCCTTCCAGGCTCGCCGCCGAGAGAAAACCAAACCACGGCATGCGTGTTGCAGAGATCCGCGCTGCTGTCTTGCATCGGCGCAGGGCCCACCCTGGCTGGTGGCGCCTCCGGCGCCGCCCCTGGCGCGCTCCGCGCGCCAGGGAGGGGGCCCAGCTCCGCCTCCTTGGGAAACGCGCGGCTGCTGCTGCCCCCCGCCCTTCCCTGACCTTCCAGGAGGGCTAAAAAATAGCACCAGGACGTCGACGTCCTAATTCCTGTCGAGGTTTGAGGCAGTCCAGATAGATCTATAGGTCTGGAGTGCTATTTTTAAGCACTCTGGAAGGTCAGGGTTCTCGAGGAACGAAAACGGCACCAACATAAACTTTCGACGGTCCGCGCGGAGTTCTCGGATCTGCGCTGAGGCCCCCTGGGGGCGCCTCTGGCGCCGCCCCCGGCGCGCTCCGCGCGCCAGGGAGGGGAGTCCAGCGCCGCTCCAAGAGATCTGCCCGGACCGCCGGGCACGTCTCTTCACGCCGCCTTCTCTCCCTCCCCCAAAAGAAGCCGCGCGGCCCCGGCGCCTGCTGCTGGGCTGGGCCCTCCGCCCTGTAGGGGAACGAACAGTGGCGTAAACATGAAAACTCAAAGGTCCGCGCGGAGTTCCCGGATCCGCGCTGGGCCCCCCTCCCTGGCGCGCGGAGCGCGCCAGGCGCTGGGAGGCGCCGCCAGGGGGCCCCAGCGCGGATCCGAGAAGTCCGCGCGGACCTGCGAGTTGCTATGTAATGTGTGTGGGCGGTTGTTCGAGCATGTTTGGTGCATTCGGGATATTTTTGTTTGATCATCTTTACCCTGACCTTCCAGGAGGGTCAAAAAATAGCAGCAGGACGTCGACGTCCTGATTCCTGTCGAGGTTTAAGGCAGTCCAGATAGGTCTATAGGGCTGGAGTGCTATTTGTTAGCACTCTGGAAGGTCAGGGTACTTTGTCGTCCGAAACCCGCCTGTGGGAGGACATACCCGACCTAATGTTCGGTCCCCGCGTGGGGCCCGCCCTCGAGCTCCGGGGGGGGCCACTGGAAGGGGGGGCGCCCGGGCCGGGAGGCTCGGGGGCGGCAGAGAGGGGGGTGATTATGGGCTGAAGTCGGGCCTGTCTCTCTACAGGAGGAATAGCCCAAATAATGAAAAAATAGTCAGGGGAGGATTGTTTGATTATTTGCGGAGCATGTTTGGAGCATTTTTGCAGTATTTGTTTAATTTTTCGTCCAAAGTCCGCCCGCAGGGGGACACGCCCGACCTAACTCCAGGCTTCCCAGATGGGGTCGGAGTAGATGGGGTCGGAGGATCGCGCCACATGGCCGATGCATCGACGATGCGGCTCGATGCATCGTCAGCGTCGCTGGTGCATCGCCAATGCATCGCCGATGCATCGGCGATGCATCTGCGAGGCATTGCCGATGCGGTACGAGCCTCCGACCCCATCTACTCGGACCCCATCTAGGAGGCCTCTAGTGATGTCCCTGACCGTCCAGAGTGCTAAAAAATATAACTCCATACCTATAGATCTATCTGGACTGCCCCAAGCCTCGACAGGAATTAAGACGCCGATGCCCGGGTGTTACTTGTTAGCCCTCCTGGAAGGTCAGGGGACTAGGGGGGGGTGGACATCATGGAGTGGGCCATGATTTTGCCCGCTGATTTCATGGCGCCTCTTCTTATCTCATCACGCCCCTGCCCCCCTCCCTGGGCCGCGCACATGCTGCTGGCCATGATCTGCGCCCCCCTCTCTCGGTCGTCCCCCTCCTTGGCCGACCCCGAGAGGCGGGCCGAGAAGCGGACCGAGGATGGAACCGAAAATGGACCCAGGCCGAAGATGGATTCGGGCCGAAAGAGATCGGGAGGGCCCTGGGGCTAGTTCGGGTATGTCCTCCTACCGGCGGCGGTTGTAAGAAACAAACAAACATAATCGAACGATAAACAATCACATAGTCCAAAGAGGCGGGGACAGCCGTCCCCAGACAACGTGTTTTCGACTATTCTTGAATGGACCTCTGGTGGAGGGACACGCCCGACTTACAGGGGGGGCCCGACCAAAAGAAGCAAGAAGCCCAACCCGGAGACCCCCAGGACGTGCGTCGGTTTCTGGTGTGGGAACGTCACGCTTCCCGTGGCCAAACCCTCGGCACCCAAGAGACCCAGGGCACCCTGGAGGCACGCAGGGTGTGTCTTGGCATGGACCGCAGCGGTCACCCTGGGGCCGCGCGCGGAAGGCAGCACGCGTCGTCGGGGGCCCCGGCCCAGCTCCCGCGGCCCCCCCCCACCTCTGCGGGGCCTCCGCCGCCGCCCCCCCAGGGGTCCTCTCTCCCCGCGAGCGAGGAGCCACGTGCGCCACTCGGCGCGCGGGCAGCTGCACACCCCCACCCCCCCGCGGGGGGTCCCTCCACCGCCGCCCCCCCCCAGACCCCCTTCCGGGCAATGCAGGAATCGTGGCGGAAGGCTATGTTTTTGCCATCTTCGGCCCCAGGGAGCCCTTGCCAGCCCCTCGAGGAGGAGGAGGAGGAGGAGGAGGAGGAGGAGGAGGAGGAGGAGCAGGAGGAGGAGGAGGAGGAGGAGGCGACTCAGGATGAAGACCAGTCCAGGGGAACGGGTCGAGATCTCCAGGGTCGGCGCAGTGAAAAAAGCATGGCGTCGGGGGTCCGGGTCACGGGGGGTCCTCGGCCCTTTGGGCAAGCACAAGCCGCTCCCCGCGGGAGTCCTCCACCCCCCCGCCTCCCCCACAGCCCGCCCCCGCTGCGGGCTCGCCTGCCCCCGGCCGCACGCAGGGGTTTGGGCCTCCCTTGAGGGGGCTCTGGAGCAGGCGGGATCGGAGGATCGCGTCGCATCGTCGATGCATCGGCAACGTGGCGCGAGCCTCCGACCCCATCTACTCCCACCCCATCCGGGAAGCCTAGAGTTAGGTCGGGCGTGTCCAGGCGGATTTTGGACAAACAGTTAAAAATACTGCAAAAATGCTCCAAACATGCTCCACAAAGAGTCAAGCAATCCTCCCCTAACTATTTGTTCATCCTTTGGACTATCCCCCCCTGTAGAGAGACAGGCCCGACTTCAGCCCAGAATCACCCCCCTCTCTGCCGCCCCCCGAGCCTCCCGGCCCGGGCGCCCCCCCTTCTGGGGTGCCCCCCCCCCGCGGGTCCCGAAGAGGGCGGGCCCGAGGGCGGGCCCTGCAGGGGGATCGGCGGATGTCGCGCCGCACCGCCGAGGCGCCGGCGAGGTGCATCGGCGGTGCGGCTCGATGTGGAGCCCGATTTTCTCCACGCCGGTGGCGCCGATGCATCGGCGATGCACCGCCGATGCATCGGCGGTGCGGCGAGATCCTCCGACCCCATTTGTACTACTCGGAGCCCATCCGGGAGGCCTCTGCGCACGCGAGAGGGGCCCTGGGCAGGATGGGAGGCCACGTGCGAACCCTGGCCTCAGGTCGGGCACGTCCCTGCACAGGAGGATTGCTCAAGAATAATACAAACCAGAGTAACGATGCTTCGTGCCCTTTTGACATTCTTTGATTTAGGGTTGGCAGTGTTTAATTGTTCTTCCAAAATGTGCATGTAGGAGGGCATGCCCGACCTAACCCCACCTCCCCACCCCACGATGTCTAAGGGGAGAGGTGGGGTACGCTTTGTTCGGGACCCTCCGAGCGAAGTACACCCCGCCTCCCCGCTTCGAAATCGGGGGGTGGCGGGGCAGGGTTCGCACGTGGCCTCCTATAAGAGTAGCCTATAAGAGTGACCTTTTGACTTTGTGTGATTCTTGGTTGACAGTGCTGTATTGTTCTTCCACAGCCCGCCTGCAGGAGGACATGCCCGACCCACGCCTCGCCCTTCAGCCCTCCGCCCAGCCGCGGGCCCAAGAGGCCCCGGCGCGCGCGCACGCGTGCGCGCGGCCGGCCCGCGCGGGCGCCGGCGCGGTCCTCCCCCGCTACTTCCCCCCCCCTCGCCTCCCGTTCTGGGCCTCCTCCTCCTCCTCCTCCTCCTCCTCCTCCTCTCCCTGCTCCTGCTAGGGCCCTTGTTGAAGGCCAGAGAGGGGAGACCGCAGCTCTACATCAGAAACGTGGTAGATGACATAGCGCTGCAGGCGTGTGGAAGGGCGATCCAGGTTGCGTCGGTTCTCAGCTCGGGTGTCGAGTCGCTGCTCGGGAACTTCGATCGGCTTAACCTTCCAGTTGCGGTGAAAAAGACCAAGTACATCTGTAGTGCTGAGGTGCAGGAGCTTCTCCAGGGGCAATGGCGTATCCCGCCCTCGTCGCGAGTGGACACGGCTCGAAATCTGGGAACGGATGCGGCGTCGGGTTCCTGTCGAAGAGTTGGGATAGCCAGAAGTAGGTTTGCGAATGCTAGATCTCGAGCTTGTAGGCTTCAGGTTTTACGTGATGCAGGGGCTGAGGTAGGCCTCATCCAAAGAGTCGGGGCCACCGCTGTGGCCCTGTGGGGGAGCAGTGTGATGGGAATCCCCCCGTCAGCGATGCACGGTCTCCGAGTTTCAGCTGCTCGGAGTATCGGTCGCCTCCCCAAGGGCTGTAGTCTAGGACTCAGGCTCCATTCGTTCAGGATGGGTTTGCTGTGTGATCCCTTGGTGGCCTACACGGGGCACGTGGTGTTTCAATGGGCCACGGCTGTTTGGGATAGTTTTCCTTCGAGGCTGATCCTGGGGGCGACGATGGAGGCGGCTATTGAAAAACTGGCGCGCTACCGCCACCCTTGGAGGGTCGCCTCGTCGCCTGCGGACGTTGCTTGTTCTTCCCTGGACAGGATCGGCTGGAGGTTGTTAACCAGCACCAGGCTCCGCGATGATCTAGGTTCGGTCTGGAACCTCAGCCAGCTCTCGCCCTGTGAGGTCAGGGAACTAGTGCACGAGGGAGCTACCAGAGCCTCCGACAGGCTTGCGTTGGAAAGTGTGGGGCGCCTTGGGGGCGAGGGCCCTCAGAGGCTCGATGGTGTGTTTCCTGTGTTTTGGACCGGCCTTGGAACGCTCCTCAGGGGTAAAACCAAAGACTGGGCGGCCCATCACCAGCATGCGCTGCGCTCGCTTGTGTGCAATGTGCATTGGCCGCAGGCCAGAGTGCATGGGCACGGGCTGCACAGCTCTGATGCCTGTCAACTTTGTAAGGTGGCTTGGGGGACGCTGTGGCACAGGCAGTACGAATGTGCGGCACACAGCAGCGTCAGAAGGGACGCTGTTTCCCCCTGGCTTGCTGCTCGTGCTCGGCGTGCCTTGGACGGTGGGGAGGACGTTGGGGAGCGGTTTGCGAAATGTGTGATGCCCAGCCCCTTGGCCTTTATACCTCGAGTAGAGCCTGAGACCACGACCAGGTGGGTGAATAAGCCCGCCAGTGGATTTCTCTCGGGGTGCATCTTTAGTGACGGTTCGGCCTTGTGGCCCTCTCTTCCAGGAGTCTGCAGAGCGGGGTGGGCTCTCGTGCAGGTCGATCGGCTGGGAAATGTGCTGCATGCTGCTTACGGTCCTGTGCCGCTCAGCTTCGGCCCCCGCCAGACGGCCAAAGATGGCGAGGACTTCGCCATTTACATGCTCACACAAGTTGGCATCGCTCCGTTTGAGCTGTATCTAGATTGCAAGGCCACTCTAGACATCTTGCTCGGAGGCTCAGGGTCTGGGGCTGAAGCGAGGTCCCCGAGAGGCCACATGTGGAGCCCGTTTTGGGCCGCCTTCGAGGGATGCGACATCCAGGCCCACAAGACTCTGGCCCATGCTTCCAGGAACGACATCGAAGCTGGTCGCACTACGGTCTGGGAGAAAAAGGCCAACTCGAGTGCGGATCAGTATGCGAAGCTAGGGGCAAGGATGCATGGAGCTGAGGACTCCCATGCTCAACTTTTTTGAGGTTCCAAGGCCCTTGTGGCCGAACAAGGGAGGTGGGCGGGTAGGCTGGAAGTTTTGATGGCCACCAGCGGCCAGAGCAGGCAGGACACGGTCGGGCTGCAGATGCTCGACCAGGAGCTGCCTGCTGAGCCCACGCCCCCTCCCGACCCCGCCGAGGAGGAGGAGGAGGTCGTCGGTCCGTCGAGTGTCGTTGGTGCGGAGGAAGGAGTGGATCCGTGCTGGGCCGACGAGGCCCGATTCGCGTTCTACTTTAGACGGCATGCTTTAGTCCGATGCTCGATTGTGACGCCTTCTAAGATAGGTGACAAGGTGGTTTTCTGTTTTCGGTGTGGGGGCTACACGTCGGGGCGTCTGGGCCGCACCCTCCTGGAGCGGTGTCTAGGGAAGCCCGCCAGCCCAGGGATCAGGACCCAGCTGAATCGGCTCCGAGCTGGAAAGCACCCACTCTATCGTGCCACCACGAAATCCCTGGTGCTCGGTCCCTCTGGCCCGTTGAGCTCCCAGGAACAGGTCGAGATCGAGGGATTAGTGGACTCATGTGAAGCAGTGGCGGCGAGCTCGAGCTCGTCTGCTGCTGATGGTTTTTGTCCAGGACTGCCCTCGCAAGATTCGGTTCTTGCGGCCTTTGGGATTCTGGAGTCTGAGCTGCCGAGGGTGAAGGAACTCGGGCAGTGTCGGGCCGTGGACGGTTCAGACGGAGAGTCTGAAGCCTCCGACGGCGAGCTCTTCTGACGCTGAACCTGCCTTCATGGCCGTCCACCACCACCACCTCCTCCTCTCCCTCTCCCTCTCGCCCACGTCCTGGAAAGCGCTCCTCGTTGACGTTCTCTTCCTCCTCTTCCTCTCGCCATCCCGTGCCCCCGCCGTCCAAGCCCTATGAGGGGGTGCGAGGGCGCGCGGGAAGGGCGCGGAGGAAGTGCAGACAGAATTTCCGGAAACAAGAATTACGGAGGTCGAGCGCATGCGGGTGAATATCTAACAAAACATGCAACGGCTTAGTTTTAGGGGACAGTTGCGCCGCATCGCCGATGCAGCGCCGATGCGGCCCGATGCAGAGCCCGGTTTCCTTCACGCGGACGTCGCCGACGCATCGCCCAAGTCGACGATGCATCGCCAGTGCATCGCCGAGGCATCGCCGATGCATCGCCGATGTATCGGCGATGCGACGCGATCCACCAACCCCATCTGCTCCGACTCCATCTAGAAGGCATTTTTACACATCCGCACCATGATCGAAGAAGAAGAAACATAAAGTTCTGGCGCTCCGATTGGATTTCTTGGACCCGCGCTGGGCCCCCCCGGCGGCGTCTCCGGCGCCGCCCCTGGCGCGGCCCGCGCGCCAGGGAGTGGGGGTGCTAGCGCGGATCCAAGATATCCGCGCGGAACGCCAAGAATTTATGTTTATGGCGTTTTTTCTTCTTCTTCTTCTTCTACCTTCGCCTCCCGTCCCCAGCATGAGGGGTGCAGGTGAGGGAGCAGGGAGCAGGAGAGAACCGGTAGGCGGAGGGCGCGGGCGCGCGGCGGGGAGGTGTTAGCCACCTGACCCCCCCCCTCCTTGGGCGCGCGCGTCGGCTCTGCCTCCCCATGACCTCTTGATTCCTGCTCCGTCTTCTGGGTCTGGTGCCAGGGCTGCAGAAGTCAGCAGGAGGAGGGGTACCCATGATGACGAGGGGTCCTGAGGTTCGTCGTCGGTGTTTTGCCACCCCCGACAAGAAAGAAGAAGCACCAAAAGCCTCGAGCCTCGGGGATCGGCCCTCGATCCTCAGAAACCCTTTCTTTCAGGCCCCCTTCGGTTCGTGGCAGCCCTCCCACCTCTTTCGGAGCGTTACCCTCATCATGCAGGCCCTGGCTGCGTTGCCAGCGTGGCACACGGCATCCGTAGCATGTGCCAGGTGAAGAACTACATCCCCAGCATGGCTCTGCAGTCGCTGTGGGCCATACTCGGAGCAGTGCGGCACCTGCGCAGCTTCAGCCAGATTGCCTCCAAGGCAGTCGAGGTAACTCACAGTGCTCTAGCGTGAGTGTTTACCCTGAGCACAGAAGACCTGGATGAGTATGCTACCCTTGGCAGATCCGTGCCTTTGAAGCATGGGGGCGGGGTACGTTTGATCGTCTCCGTTTCTATTACGAATCTGCTATGTCTAGCTTCTGGCTGAATGGCTTGTAAGTTCAGCCTGCCGGGGAAAGCATGGAGGAGGAGGAAGAGGGACGGAGGAGGAGGGAGGAGGAGTGGGGAGCAGGAGTGTGGGGAGGAGGAGGAGGAGGAGGAGGAGGAGGAGGAGGGGAGGAGGAGGAGGAGGAGGAGGATGGAAGATGAGGGGGGGGAGGAGAGGAGGAGGGAGGAGGAGGAGGAGGAGGAGGAGGAGGAGGGAGGAGGAGGAGGAGGGAGGAGGGAGGAGAGGAGGAGGAGGAGGAGGAGGAGGGGAGGAGGAGGAGGAGAGGAGGAGGAGAGGGAGGGGAGGAGGGAGAGGGAGGAGGAGGGAAGGGAGGGAGGGAGGAGGAGGAGGAGGAGGGGTGAGGGCGAGGAGGATCTCTCCAGCTCATCGCCCCACCCACCCCCCCGCGCCCGATGGCCGAGCAGCCGTCCCCCGCGAAGCAGGCGCGGGAGAAGGCTGCAGCGGAGGCGGCCGCGCACTTCGAGGCGTCGCGACGTCGTCGTCGTCGTCGTCGTCGTCGTCGTCGTCGTCGTCGTCGTCGTCGTCGTCGTCATCGTCGTCGTCGTCGTCGTCGTTTTCGTCGTCGTCGTCTTCGTCGTCGTTCTTCATCACCCTTCTCATCCTTCTCCCCCGCCGCCTCCTCAGAGATCCGGGCGTAGCATTTTTTCAGACGGGGCGTTGTCAACAGTTTTCAGACCCTGGGGTCATCACAAATCGATCCAGCTCGAAGGGTGCTGCAGAAAGATGGGTTCTAGGGTACCGGTCGCTGTTCTTCTCGCGATGGTATTTTTTCGCAAGGCCGGAGCTCCGGGTCGTTCTCCTCCTCGTCAGTCCCCTCTTCTGCTCTCCCTCCTCATCCCTCCTTCTCCGCTTTCCCCTCTGCTGTGGCCCCTGCGGCGGCGGCCAGTGTGCCGCGCCGGAGCGCGGGCGCCAACGCCGCCGCCGCGGGGTGGCGACACGCGGCGTTTGAGTTCTCAGCCGCGTCCTTTCGTCGGCCCTACACTCGTGCCAACTGTTGGGCTGTTCAGGGTAGCAGAATCCTCACAGCAGAGTCCAGCCTCTTCCTCCTCACCGCACGTTCTCGTCCTCCCCCGCTCCTCCTCCTCCTCCTCCTCCTCCCTCCTCCTCCTCCTCCGTCCTCCTCCTCCTCCTCCTCCTCCTCCTCCTCCTCCAACTCGTCCTCCTCCTTCTCCTCCTCCTCCCCCCTCTCCTCCTCTTCCTCCTCCTCCTCCTCCTCCTGCTCCTCCTCCTCCTCTTTCTCCTTGCTCCGCTATCACTCATCCTCTTGATTGTCTCCCCCTCCACGAGAGCGTTCTTGCTCTTCTCACCGTCCTTCTCCACTTGCAGCTCTTGCCCATCATCATTCATCTTCGCCTCCTCGCCATTATCCGTGACTTCCTCTTTCTCCACGTCGCCATTCCCCGTCTCGTCCTCCTTCGAGTCGTACTCATTATCCTAATACTGCTCATCCTCCTATGCATGCATATACTCCTGCGCGCCCTTGTCCTCGCCATGCTCATCATTTTCATTATCATGTTTCCTTATCCTCACTCTTCCGTTCGTTCCTCAATCATTGGTTCCATCTCTTTTTCCTGGTTGTTGTCCTTTTCCCAGCCCCCCGCTGGCCACCGTCCTCATCCTCCGTCTCCTCTTCCTCCCTACCCTTCTCCTGAACTGATATTATTCATCATTCTCCCCCGCCTGGTCCATCCCACGTTCGTCGTCATCGTCCACCTCCTCCTCACCCTCGTGCCTCCTTCCCTCATCATACTTCATCCCCCCTCTCCTTCTGCATCCCCACGCGCGCGAAGGAGGGAGACGGACGAGGACAAGGAGGCGGGCGGCAGCAGGAATGTTGACGGCGACGGCGAAGACGGCGAAGACGACGTCCCTCGTCCGCGAGGCACGGGCAGCTGAGGTCCGCGCCTACCTGGATGCCAGCCTTGGCCAGCAGGTCCACGAAGGCTTGAAGGAGGTGCCCGGGAGCGGGGGGGGAACCATATTCCTGGCGACTCGAAAATCGCGACGCCTGTCGTCTCCGAGGAAGAGGAGGAGGCGGAGGAGGAGGAGGAGGAGGAGCAGCAGCAGCAGCAGCAGCAGGAGCAGGAGCAGACGTTGCGGCATTCGGGGCATCTTCTGGGCCTTGCGGCGCTGTGGGTTCCCGCATGCGCGGCTTGCGTTTCTGCTCGCAGAGTGCGCCCGTCTTGGCGCCGAGGCCGTGGCATTGCCCAGCCCAGGGCGGCTTGCGGCACGGCTTTCTGCGTCCCCTCCCCTTCCCGCCGATCCTCCCGCTCCAGCAGCTGCGCCGCGGACGGCAACAGAGCCTCTGGGCCCAGCGGTGTTTGAAGTTATTTTGGGGCTGCCGTTGTACAGGAAGCCGCTGGTCAGTCTCCTGCCGCGTCTCGCCAAGGAGCGTGCGTCTTACTCGAGAGCTGCCGCGGCCGTCCCCTCCCTCGTGCCCCTCCTTCCCCTCCAAGGAACAGCTTCTAGGCCCAGCGGGACTGCGACGAAGCGGGATTCCGGACGCTTTGCGCACAAGCGGCATGGGCGCGCCGCGTTGCTTGCGTCGTCCGCCCCGGCGAAGCGGTCGACTGGCTTTTCGGCCACGGCGCCTGCCCCCTGCCCCCCGCCTGCCCCCGTGCCAGGTGGCCTCCCAGCGGCCCGCGGAGCCGAGGGCCGCGCTGGCCGGGCTCTTCCAGGGCAAGAAGAGCCTCGGGGAGATCGCCAAGGAGACCCGCCCCGCTGCGAGCGGGGAGGAGCTGGGAGGGGGGGGGGGAGCGGAGGAGAGCCGCGCAGGTGGCGGAGACGGGGGTCGGCCCATGGGGGCCGGTCGGAGGTGCAGACGCTTGCCAGGGTCACCCGCGGCCCAGGTCTTGGACATGGGCTTGGCCATGCCTCTCGCGCCCTTTCGCCCCATCACCGGCTCTGAAGGGATGGCATGGCCGCAGCACCGACCCTGCCGCTGCTGCTGCTTCTGCGAGCTCTCGGGGCAGGGGGGAACTGCTGGACACCGAACTCTCGGCCTTCACTCGGCCGTTGGGCCCTCTCCCGGACACGGCCACCGCGGGGGAGAGAGGGCTCGTGGCCTAGGGTGGCCGTCTGGAGGCCCGTTTTACTGTTCTGTTCTCTCAAGTCCACTTGTATTGGTCTCTTTGGCAAGGATATGCGGCGAATCCAAACGTCTTGAAGTTTCGACCGGCCGAGGGTGAGGGGGGAGGGGAAGGGAGGGGAGGGGAGCCGGAGCGGGAGCGGGAAGTGAGGAGGATTGATGAGTATTACATTGATACAGGGGCCTGGGACTGGGGAAGAGGAGGGAAACGGCAAGACCACCAGCTCGCATGCGGATGGCGCGACGGACCCTGTGAGTCGCCACACCCACTGCGCCAGGGCGGAAGACGGGAGGAAGGCGAGGAGAAGGCGGAGGACCACGATGATAATGAGGAAGACGGCTGGGGCGAGAAGAGAAGGAACGGCGAGAACGAGGGCGACGACGAGGCGGGCGATCGGGAGGATTCGGACGAGGACGAGGCCCATGCAGGAGGACGAGGAGGGCACCGGGGGCGAGGCCGGCGAGGCGAAGGTCGAGGAGCAGAGGCACGTCGACGACGACGGCGACGCCTGTGGCCTCTCGCGCCGCGCCGTCCCGAGGCAGGAGGAAGCACCCTGACCTTTCTGGAGGGCTACCATCGATTAGACTTCAGAGTGGCCTTTCGCTGGAGTGACCTTCCGGTGCGGGGTCGCCTGGGCACGGATCGCGCTGCGAGATCAGCGGCGTGAGTGCGCCTGGGTTGGGCCCCCCCGCGCCCACCGGATGCCGCGCACCGGTGCCGCGCACCACCAAAGGTCACTCTTGCCCAAGGACGCTCGCCCCAGACCCCCGACGTCATGATTTTTTCATGACGTCGACCCCTGGAGGTCTCGACCCGTTCCCCTGGACCAGGTTTTCATCCTGAGTCGTTTTTGGACGGCCTCGAGGGCCGGCAAGGGCCCCCGGAGGCCGACAATTCTAAGACATCTTCCCGTCCTGATTTGTTCCCTTGCCCGAGCTAGGGGGTCTGGGCTGCGCGCCGCCGGCCGAGGCCGCGCGCCTCCGGCGCAGGGCGCACGGCTGTGCCGCCCCCCGCGGGCCGAGGAGAAGAAGTGCACGGACGCCGCGCTGCGGTCGGCGGCCCCGCGGCAGTACATGTACGCCACGGTGGCCACGGAGCTGGCCGGCTCCCTGGCCGACGTGTGCCGCGCGCGGCCGAGAGCGCCGGTCCTCCTGCCCATCAACTGCACGTGTATCAAGCAGTGGGGAAGCGTCCTGGCCCGCCTATAGCCCTACCAAAAGATGTTCTAAGAACCTCTTGAGGCTCCCACGGAACGTTCTCAGAACAATTTCTGGCGGAGTTTGTCCTGTTGTAACACATCGGGTTCATGTTCTAAGAACATTGTTTTTGCTCTTAGGACATGTGTGGGTTCTAAGAACATTCTTCTCGCCAGTGTTTTCTTCTCGCTAGTGCTTTCTTCTCGCCAGTGTTTTTTTACTTCTTGGATGTGGTTGTAAGTAAAGCCGCTGGTCAATCTCTGCCGCGTGTCGCCACGGAGTGCACAAGTGACTCGAGTGCTGTTGCGGTCGTCCCCTCCTGAAAAAAAAGGGTTCTAAGAACATTTCGTGGTAGGGCTAGAGGAATGCCAGGACGGTCGGTCCCTGCTCCAGTGTGGGAGGGGCCCTGCGCGGCAGTGGCCCCCGGGGTGCGTGCGCGCGGGTTCTCCCCGATGCCTTGCAGGAGATGCGCTGGTCGCGGCCAGGGGGCCACACGCGAACCCTACCCCTACCCATACCCCTACCCCCCCTCCTCCTCCTCCTCCTCCCCCTCTCCCTCCTCCTCCCCCTCCTCCTCCTCCTCCTCCTCCTCCTCCTCCACCTCCTCCTCCTCCTCCTCCCCCCTCCTCCCCCCTCCTCCTCCTCCTCCTCCCCCTCCTCCTCCTCCTCCTCCCCCTCCTCCTCATCCTCCTCCTCCTCCTCCTCCTCCTCCTCCTCGGAGGGGGAGGGTGGGGGTCACTTCGCTCGGGAGCTCCCGCGAACCCCACCCTCGCCCTCAGAAATCGCGGGGGGCAGTAGGGGCAGGGTTCGCGTGTGGCCCCCCAGTGGCGTGAGCGCGCTGGGTGTTCGGGCCCCCTCGCGCACCCCCCCTGGAGAGCTCACCACGCGCCAAAAGCCAACCGCCCAGCCCGAGGGCCTCGGTGTGCCCTCCATTCCCAGTGGGGGGGAGGGGGGGGCGGGGCAGAGGGGAGTACGGAGAAAACTCGGATTCGCAAAGGTGAAGCAAAGTTAGACTCCCTGGTGCCCCTCGTCGTGTCTCACTCTCGCGCGCGCTCGCCGCTTGTCTGCCGCCGTTTGGGGCTCAAGGGTCGGATTGGACCGTGTTTGCGCGGAGCCAATGAAAAAGACGGAGGAAGGGAGCAGGAGCTAACACCCGTGGAACCCGTACCCCTCCCCACCCGAAAGTTGGGTCTTCGGGCTGGGCTGGGGTGGCTTGGTAGTGGAGGATCACGATCTATAAACGACCGGGGGTCGTGTTCACGCGGCGGTGCCCGGGATGACGATTAGAAAAAAACCGGCCGCGGGCTGGAAAATTATTATTTTTCCCAACCCTCCTTGGTTGGGTATTCGTTTTGAATAGGGCAGTGTGGTCGCGTCCTTCCTCCTCCCGCCTCCCGCCTCTTTCCTGCCTCTTTCTGTCTTGCCTGCGGGGGGCTGTGAAATGGGGGGTCCAGCATAGAGGGTAATCGCGGCAGATCCAAATTAGACCTCGCCGTTCCTGGGGGGCTGCGATCTGTGAAACTGTCGCCACTTTCTAGGCCTGCTGGGGGGCTCAGCATAGAGGGTAATCGCGGCAGATTCAAACTAGACCTCGCCATCCCTGGGGTGCGATCTGTGAAACTGTCGCCACTTTCGAGGCCTGCTGGGGGGTCCAGCATAGAGGGTAATCGCGGCAGATCCAAATTAGACCTCGCCATCCCTGGGGGGCTGCGATCTGTGAAACTGTCGCCACTTTCGAGGCCTGCTGGGGGGCCCAGCACAGTGAGGGCCACGCGCGGATTCAAATTAGACCTCGCCATCCCTGGGGGCTGCGATCTGCGAAACTGCCGCCATTTTCGAGGCCTGCTGGGGGGCCCAGCACAGTGAGGGCCACGGGCAGATTCAAATGAGACCTCGCCGTCCCTGCGGGGCTGCGATCTGTGAACCTGTCGCCACTTTCGAGGCCTGCTGTGATCCCCGTTTTCGAAGTGGCTAGGAGTGCTCAGGAATTGTAAATCATCAGCTTTATCAAGCCCTTTTCCTGTAGCCAGTGTCCTGCGAGTCTCCCGAATTCCGTCTGCAGACATATGTAACCCTCGCTCCGTCATCGCCCCCTTATAAAGTATCCTAAACTATTTGCGCCCCGCTTTTGCGCAGGGGTTGGGTACGTCGCCAGGGTAAGTGTTTCAATCGTTCTCCTCCTGTCAACAAATTGTGCAGAAATGCCAGCAAACTATTATTTCAATCGTTCTCTCAAATTTTTAAAAATTAATCGTCATCCCGCATTACCCCCCCAACCCGAAAGTTGGGTCTTCGGGTTGGGTTGGGGTGGTTTGGTAGATCGTCAAAATCCGCGCACCAAAGGTTATTCTTGCCCAGGGTCGCTCGATGCGCGCAGCCGAGTTTGGCGAGGTAGGGGGAAAAGGGCTGCAGCCCAGCGTGGACCCAGAGCACAGACGATCGACAAACAAACATGCGACACAACCCCATCTACGGCACTCCATGTTGCGGTACGGCTCGTCGAGGGCCGTAGCGCATATCTCGCAAAGCCCCATGCTGGATTTCTTGGTGTACGCCAAGCCTCGTGGGGGTGCCGCAGGTGGGATGGTGTCGTTTGGTTTCTGGCCCAGACGATCTGATTTCTTCAGCCTGGGCGTTTTTCGTGAGTTTCGGCATTTGGGGCTCATTACCGAGCCTCGGGACCATCGAAAGCGGATCTGGGGCGGAAAGTCGCCCCCCGGGGAAATGGTCGGGACCTCTGGGGCCGCGCGATGAGAGACTCACATCGTCGGATGTCTGGGTCCTGCAACCCGCCACGGAGAGGAGGAGTCGTGAAGGGAAGAGGGATCCCGAGATTTTCTGACCTCCCAGGGCCCTGCCAGGGGCGGTCTTAGTCAGGGGGGGGGAACATCGGGCGTGAATCGGCCATTCATCGCCGATAGACTGGCGATTGGCCCCCGACAGCGAGTCCGAACGATCCTGGGTCGGGGCGGGCCCTCGGGCGCAACGGGGTCAGATCCCAACGAGAAGAGTCGGTCTGATCCCATCAGATCGGCTCAGATTCCAAAAGGTTAGGAAACCGGAGAGGTTAGGATCCCAATGGGCGGGAACAACTATTGATGAAAGTTTTGCGCGGTCACTTGGGCAATGAAAACCACATGATATCTTTTGAAGGAACTCATTCGGTCTTCATCGCGCTCCGTTGGGATGTCGACCATTCCACTGCCCTGTGATATGGAAGTTCTGAGTGCTCCAGGACGTCCCCATGCAGGCTCGAGGCACTCCAGGATGGCAGCGTACACGAAACGTATATTAAACGTACATACCACGTTTATGCAACGTATATCGGGAACGTATAAGGAAATGTACCAAACGTAACCGGCACATATATCAAGCGCAGACGGCAAAACATGCGACACGTACATGCAACGCATACGAAGCGCATAGGACACGCAGGTCAGACGTGCATGGAACGTGAATGAAAACTAGTTAAACGCATCCGCAACGTATATGACACACAGACTGCATGTGCATGACATTTATACGAAGCGTGAGGGAAGCATGTATACGTAGATGTAGCGTGTCGGACAACGTAGACGTAATGTATTTAAGACATATATGTACTAACAATATTCCTGGAGCGTATATTGGACGTTTATGAACGTATACGACCCGTATAGAAAACGCATGTGCAACCGTATGCGAATCCTGTACGAAATATCTAGGCCTGTCTTCGAAAAAGAATTGCAACATATATGGAACTTGTGTGACACGTAAAGGAAGCACGTATGCATTCGCAACGCGCATGAAACGTGCACGAAACATGTATGAAGCGTTTATGGGACGTGATGCACGTATACGAAACGCATGCGGCATGAATTTAACGTGTGTGCGTATCGCCTACGCACCGTCTGCGAATCGCAGGCAAAACGCTGACAGCACGTACCATCAATAAATGTGCGAGAGGTATACGACACGCATGCGACAAGTAGTTAGAACGTATACACAACATATAATGCTCGCACTTTACATGTAAGTATAGCGTGCACGAAACGTACACACACACACACGTTCTACAAGACGCTCATACAACGTATACCGCAGGTGGCCCAGAGAGGGACCTGAACGGACATGTGGAGCTTTTCGCCCGAAGATGGCGCCCCCAAAATGCCCCGAGGAGGCCCCAAGACCCCAAGAGGTCCCCAGTTGGGCCCCCAGGAGGCCCAAAGAGCGTTCCGATAACTACCCCGCCAGAGGCATCCCAACAGACCCGTGTATCCATCCAAGAGGCTTCTGGCCCACAATGCAGGCACCTTCGGAAATCGTTCAGGATTCTTCCCTAGGAATCCTCCGGAATCTTTCAAGAATCGTCCAGACTCGCTCGGGATCTTTAGGACTCAGGAGTCTCTCTGGAATCTTCCGGAATCTTTCGGGAATCTGTCTTGCGATCATACAAAAAACCGTCGGAATCGTCATGAATCTTCCAGGAATCGTCAGGAATCCAATCAGAATGCTTTAGGGAGCGTTCCAGAATCCGCAGGAATCCTGCAAATCCGGGGGGATCCATGCGGAATCCTGCAGGAAGCTTCTCGGAGTCCTCAGGAAGCGACTAGGCAGTTTAAGAGGAGTCTCCAGGAATCCCCACGAGGCCGAGAAGGCGCCCAGGAGGTCCTTATGAAGCGCTTCAACAAGCGCAATTAAATTTAAATTCTGTTATTTGGGATTTGAGCCGTGGATTTGAGCCGTTCCGGTATTCACACCCGCTGGGATCTGAACTAGTTGTTTGGGATCTGACCCGTCCCGTTGAGATGATAGCGCTTTCTCGCCATCGGGCCCGTGTCGGCGATGAATGGGCGATTGGGGTTCGATGCGGCCCCCCCTGAGCCTACCCCCTCTTGGCGTTGCCCTTGATGGTTCCAGACTCCAGGACCTACTCACCTCGGAGCTCCTTTGCTTTCGTGCCAAGCGAAGCGGTGTCTCGGAGGGTTTGGGAGGCGCCTTCGGGGCCCTGGATGGGCTGCCTCCAGCCGCGCGTCGTCGAGGGCCTTCTAGTGACGCCCCGGAGTCGACCCCGACGGCCTCCCCGAGATGTGACGCAGCATTTGAGGGATCGTGCTCGAGGAGTGCGCGGTGCTTAAGAGGCAGCGAAACGCTTAGGAACCGAGGAGGCGAGGAAGATGAGAAGGGCGGGGAGAACACGAAGGGAACGAACAGGGAGGAAGCCAGACACCCAGTTTCAGCGACTGTGATGTGCGCTGCTTTGGTTTGCTCCCTCCGGGCCTCCTCCGCGGGACCGCGTCACCGCGGCCGCGACGCGCCGCGGAGTCCGCGGCTTCACGGCCGGATCCGCCGCGGGATCTTGGCAGGCGAGGCCCAGGCGCCGGCGTTGAGGACAGAGGCCCCCGTCCCCCCCCTCCCTGGGGGCATCGACGGCGCGGGGCGAGGAGGGGGGGGAGGCCCTGACCTTGCAAAGCGCTCCAGCATGGCACTCCAGATCATATAGACCTATCCGGACTGCCCCAAACCTGGACGGGAAGCATGACGTCGACGTCCTGGTGCTGTTTTGTCCGCCCTCCTAGAAGGTCAGGGAGGGAGGATGGGCAGGATTGCTGGGCTGCCTCCCAGGTCTCCGACCTCGGCGCCGCGCTGGCGAATAAGTGAGCGCGCGTCCGGGGAGCGCGGCCCGCGCGCGGCCCTGCGCGCGGCCCGCCTCCTCGCCACCGGTCGTCGACGCCTGGGCGCCGCGCTGGCTAGGGTTAAGTCGGGCCTGGCCCTCTGCGGGAGGAAAATCCAAAAATATGTTAAAAAGATAGTATGGGGACGTTGTTGTTACCTCTCCTGGCTATTTTCGAATCTTTTTTGACTACTCTTAATTTTTGGCCCAAAGCCCGCCTGTAGGGGGACGTGCCCGAACTAAGGCAAGGGGGGAGGCGGGCCGCGAGCTGGCCCGCGCGCCTTCGGGCGCGCGCCGCCGCCGGTGGCGGGCCGGCGTGGGCGCCAGCCCCCGAGGGGCGCGCGGCTCGCCGCGCCACCCCGTTGCC